TGGTCTATGACCCCTGATCTATGCCCCTTGATCTATGCCCCACTGATCTATGCCCCCTGATCTATGCCCGCTGGTCTATGCCCCCTGATCTATGCCCCACTGATCTATGCCCCCTGATGTATGCCCCCTGATGTATGCCCCCTGATCTATGCCCCCTGGTCTATGACCCCTGATCTATGACCCCTGATCTATGCCCCTTGATCTATGCCCCACTGATCTATGCGCCCTGGTCTATGCCCCGTGATCTATGCCCGCTGGTCTATGCCCCTTGATCTATGCCCCACTGATCTATGCCCCCTGATGTATGCCCCCTGATGTATGCCCCCTGATCTATGCCCCCTGATCTATGCCCCCTGATATATGCCCCTTGATCTATGCCCCCTAATCTATTCCCCCTGATCTTTTCCCCTTGATCTATGCCCCTTGATCTATGCCCCCTGTGTTAGAATATTCTTCCCTCATTCTATTAGTCTACATCGTTTCATTGTCTTAGGTACTTATAAGAACCCCACTTGGGTGTATACACCTAAGTTGGGGGTTGGGTTCCCAACCTTGTTGGGTTCCCAATTTGGTTGGGCTCCCAATTATTGGATCCCCCAATAATCCCAACCAAGATTATTGGACCCACCAATAATCTTGGCTAAGATTATTGGACCCCCAATAAGTTGGCCAACTCAATTTATTGGGGTCCCCAATAATCGTGGTCACCTCCCTACCAAACCTCCCCTCCTACTCCTCACCTATGTATACCCACTCTTTTCCTAAGACTATCATCACTTCAGTTTCTCACATGGTTTCAGAGCTTATGGCTCACGCCTCTCCGTCGTTCGATCCCTAGCCACCTCGCGCCCATCGCGCCCCTCCCCGCGCCCTCAAGCGCCCCTCCTCGCGCCTTTAAGCGCCCCTCCTCGCGCCCTTAAGCTCCCCTCCCTGCGCCCATAAGCGCCCCTCCCCGCGCCCTTATGCGCCCCTCCCCGCGCCCTTAAGCGCCCCTTCTCGTGCCCCCAGTTGCCGCATTTCGATGCGGCGCCCTGCCGCATTTCGACGCGGCGCCCTGCCGCATCTCGACGCGGCGCTCGGCCGCATCTCGACGCGGCGCTCTGCTGCATCTCGATGCGGCGCTCGATCGCATTTTCGACGCGGCGCTCGATCGCATTTCGACGCGGCGCTCCGCCGCAATTCGACGCAGCCCTCCCGCCGCATTTCGACGCGGCGCTCCGCCGCAATTCGACGCGGCCCTCCCGCCGCATCTCGACGCGGCGCTCCGCAATTCGACGCGGCCCTCCCGCCGCATCTCGACGCGGTCCTCCCGCCACATTTGGAGACGCCTTCTACGCCGCACTCCGTCGCCTCCTCCCCCTCTGGGCAGTCCCGGCGCCCCTGCCTAACAAGCGGGATTCGGCCGGGCTGACCTCTGTGCCGGCGTGCACCGCACGCAACTGCCCATAGCGACTGATCGTCGCCATCCGCGCCGGCCGTCGCCTTTCGCGTCGGCGCCCGCCGAAGCCTTCGGCGACTTAAAAGCTGCGCTCCGCGCACCCCCCTTTTTCCTCCTCCCTCTCTCCACCCCCCACCTCCCCCCCCTTCCCCTCCTCCTCTCCTCCTTCCCCACCACGGCAGCAGCCGCATCCTTCCCCAATCAGCAGCAGCAGCCGCAGCCGCAACCTCCACCGCCCTCCACCTCCTCCCCACTCCCCTCATCAGCCGCAGCAGCCACATCTCCCCCCTCCACCTCCTCCTACTCCCCTTCCTCCCCCCACTAGCAGCAGCTACCACCTCATCTGCAGCAGCCGCACCATCAGCAGCAGCAGCCTTATTCCCCCCCCCCCCTCCCCTCCCTCTTCCTTCTCCCCTCTCCTATCATCCCCAGCAGCAACAGCAGCAGCACCCGCAATTGCACCATGACCACCGAAGCACTCGCCGTCGACATCTCCACCATTGACGTCCTCGAGCAAATCGACGACGACGTCCCTGTCAACTGGGCTACCTTTGCCCATTGCCTCACCAATGTCCTGGGATCCGCAATTATCAACGACTACTGCCTCCTCGACATTCTCCTTGGCACTGACGCAGGGCAGCCCCCAGAACGTCCTGCTGATGTCTCCCCTGCACCTCCTGCCCCACCTCCGGCCCCCTCTGGACCGGCCCCCACCAAGCCCTCCCCACTGGTCTACACCGACGACCCTGATCGCTGGGCTCGCGTGCAACACCAGTATGACAAGGACTTTGCGGAGTACACTCTCCTCCAGCACGCGTATGACGCAGAGCTAGCTGCGCATGACACTGCCAACACACTTCTCCAGCACCACAAGGACACCATGGCTAAGTATGCTGACGACTTTCGTGAGTACTGTCGCTGCCACTCTGTCTGGAACGTTGCTAACCGCAAATGTCTCGCTATCCTGTCTGCTTGCGTTCCTTCCTCCCTCAAACGTGAAATTACCCCCTCCTCCACTCCCGAGTTCTGGAAAGAGCTATGTGTTACCTATGACCTCCAGGACACCAACTCTCTCCTAGCGCTCCACCGCGCCTTCCTTGACATCACCCTCGACTCCTGCCCCAACGCCCTCTCCTTCATGCACCACCTCCTCACCACTGCCAAACGCCATGCCGATCGTCGCTCTCCCCTTCCCGACTCCCTCATCGTTTGCCACCTCCTCGACGGCCTCACACCCATGTACGAGGCCCGTTGCGTGGCATTCAATGAGGTCCACGCCAGCTTCCCACCCGACTCCTCTTATGTAGCCGCATGGATTCTGAAAATTGAAGCGGAGCTTCTCCGCCAGTCTCCTCCGACGGCTCATGCTGCCCAAGCAAAAGGAGGACGTGGTGCTGGCCGTGGCAGTACTGCGGCGCGACGATCCGGTGGTGGACGTGGCGGGGGGCGCAGTGGAGGACGTGGAGGTAGCAATGGTTCCAGCAACACCGGCGGCTTCTCTCCGTGTCAGTATCTCATCCGCAATGGCCCCAACAAGGGTAAGCGCTGCCTCCAAACCACCCATGCCACCACCACATGCTTCAAGGCCCTCACTGATGAGTGGCTTGATCGAGGCAACACGAGCACGCCCCCTCGCTGGTCCGCTATCACTCCACCTCCCACTCCCTTTGATGTTCGTACCCTCCCCGCCTATCAGCCCTCCTCTACCTCTCTCCACCACATCCTCACACAGCACCTCCCTCCACAGATCCTCGAGCAGATCACGCCCCTCCTTCCGTCCCCGCAGCCGCCGCAGACTCAGCAGCCGCAGCAGACCCAGCAGCCGCAGCAGTCCCAGCAGCAGCCGCAGCAGCTCCTCCAGCAGCTGCAACAGTCTCAGTAGCCCCAGCAGTCTCAGCAGCAGCCCTCCCCTTCCTCTGCCTGGAGCTCCGGCCTCTCTACTCCTGCTACTCCTGCGCAAGCCCCTTCCGGACCTCCTGGCTTTACCCCATTTCCCATTCCTGGCTTCATCAACCATGTTAGCCATGCTTCTCCTGCTATTCCCCCAATGTATCCCGAATCTATTAATGAAACCTCCTTCCAGTACTCCGTGTCTCACCCCACCTCTCCTTCCATTGAGTTTGTCATTGACAGCGGCGCCAGCGTCACGGTCCTTCGTGACGCTGGTGCCCTCACCCCCCTCCCTAACCCCTCCACCATCATTGGAGCCGATTCTACTTTCTCGGTCACCTCCCGCCATACCTCCACTCTTCCCTGCCCTCTCTTCCCCTCAGGTTCATTCACTGGCTTCCATGTCCCCTCCCTTCGCATTAACCTCGTCTCCCAAGGTGCACTTCAATGGGTCGGGGTCACAACAATCTACCTCGGCCACGCCACCCACTGTGACCTCTTTCACTCATCCACGAGTCATTTCATCGTCTGTGTTCCCATGTGTCCTCGCACTTGCATGTACACCCTTCACACTCCCCGTCCGTCAGCCTGTCACACTGCCTCCACCATCCCTCCCCTCCCCCCTCCCCTCTTTCCTCCGCAACCTCCCCCAACCTCCCCTCCCGCCCCTCTTAGTCCTCCCCCATCTCAGTGCCATTGTCGTGATCTTACACATCCTGCCATCCTCCTCCACCACCGCCTTGGTCACCCCAACTTTGCCACCCTCCACAAGGCCATCGCCTCCGGGCTCCTCAATGGCCTTCCCCTCACTCTCCCCCACTCCCTCCCTCCCCCGCCCCCCCTTGCACCATCTGTGTCCAGAGCAAGCTGAAGAAGCTTCCTCATAAAAGTGACCCTTCCTGCGCCCTAGAGCTCCTGGATCTTGTCCACATGGATCTCTGGGGCCCCAACCCCTCCCCCACCCATCAAGGGCACCGCTACCTCCTCATCCTGGTCGATGACCGCTCACGATACACCTCGGTCTCCCTCCTTCGCACGAAGGCCGAGGCACCGGCCTTTATCATCGCCTTGGCCGAGCAGGCGCGCACCCACTTCGGTCGCCCCCTTCACCGCTTCCATTCCGATGGCGGCGGTGAATTCCTCAATCACCATCTCTCTTCCTATTTCTCCACCCATGGTATTCACCATACTTACATCCTCCCTCACTCCCCTCAGCAGAATGGCATGGCTGAATCTCGTGTTCGAGAAGTTACAAAGACCGCCAGGTGTCTTCTCGTTCACGCCTCCTGCCCGCCTTCTCTCTGGGGTTATGCTCTTCTCCACGCTGTCCTCCTCACTAACCTGTATCCCCACCCTCTCCTCCCCTCCACCACCCCCACCGAGCTGTGGACGTCAACTAAACCCGATGTCTCCCCCCTGCACGTCTGGGGCTTCAGGGCGTATGTTCTCATACACCCGGCCGACCGCTCACGCACAGCAGGGAAGCTCGCTTCCAAGAGGCTACCCTGTGTATTCCTTGGTCACAACACCTCCTCCTCTGACTACCTGTTCCTTCATCCCCCCTTAGGTCGCCTCATTCGTAGTCGGGACGTCATCTTTGACGAATCCTCCCCGTACACCTCCCTTGCCTCACCTGACCCACTCACCATTCCTCCTCGCCCCCTCATCCTCTCTGACACTGTCACCCCCCCCTCCCCCCCTCTCCCTCTTATTCCCCCACCCCTAGCACCTCCTCCTCCTGAATCTGCTCCCTCCTCATCTTCCTCAGGTGACATCCTTGACCCAGTACTCCCCCCCTCTCCCTCTCACTCCGCTTCCGCTCCGTCCTCCCCCTTCTCCCCACCTCCTCCCCCTCCACCTCCTTTCCCCCCTTCCCCTCCCCCTCCTCCCCCACCCCCCCCCACCTCCTCCTCCACCCCCCAAGGTGTCTTCTCCCCTTGTCCTTCGCCACCGCCCTCATACTCGGTCCATGGATCCCCTCTTTGGTCTGCCCTTAGCCCCTCCCTCCCCTCAGGCAAAGGCACCCGCTCCAGCACCCTCTGCTTCCGCATCCGCACCTGCCGCCGCACTAGTGCTTGCCCCAGTCGCTGCACTCGCAACGTCAGGATCCGCCGCAGCAGTCGCCCCAGTCAAGCAACCGTGCAGCCGAGTCGCAGTGTCGCAGCCTCCCCTCTCAGCAGCGCAGCAGACTTGCAACACCACCCTCCCTTCCTCCTCTTTTCTCTCCCCTCCTCCTCGATTGCTCTCTCCTCCTGCGAAGCAAAGCTCTACGCCGTCACCATGGCGGCTCAGGAGGCGCGGTGGCTCAGCTTCCTCCTCGCTGAGCTGGATGCTCCCCAGCCCTGTCCCACCATCTGGTGCGACAATGCCAGTACTATCCACCTCACAAAGGAAGCCGTTTTCCATGGTCGCTCCGAACACATCGAGCTTCGTCACTACTTCGTTCGTGAGCTCGTCCAGGCTGGACACCTCACTGTCCGCAAGATTGACTCTTCAGCCAACCTTGCGGACATCTTCACCAAGGCCCTCCCTCGCTGTCCCCATGCGGCGCTCCTTCGGCTTCTGGGTCTTGCCCCTCCCTCAGGGGGGAATACTTGATTCAGGGGTTGCTTTTCTTCACCTTCCCCAGACTTATGGCACTCCGTAGGCTAAGGGGTTGTGTTAGAATATTCTCCCCTCATTCTATTAGCCTACATCGTTTCATTGTCTTAGGTACTTATAAGCACCCCACTTGAGTGTATACACCCAAGTTGGGGGTCGGGTTCCCAAATTGGTTGGGCTCCCAATTATTGGACCCACCAATAATATTGGCTAGGATTATTGGACCCCCAATAAGTTGGCCAACTCAACTTATTGGGGTCCCCAATAATCGTGGTCACCTCCCAACCAAAATCCCCCTCCTACTCCTCACCTATGTATACCCACTCTTTTCCTAATACTTCTCACACCCTGATCTTTGCCCCCTAATCTATGCCCCTGCCCATCCCTCATTCCCCGCCTGCAGGTCTCGATTCTGGGCTTCCCCCTCTCTGCCCCGCCTTTCCACAATCGCTTCCCCTACCTCCGGCCCAACCCACCCCCCGCCCCCCTCAATGCAGGCCTGGAGGAGGGGTACCGCCCTCTCTGCCCGCCCTTTGTCTCCCAACTCACTGATTCCCACTCTTGCCCGACGCCCACCCACCCACTCTGCACCCACTCTCCACCCACTCCCTACCCACTCCCGACCAACCCCTGCAGGCCTAGATGAGGCGGACAACGGCCCGCTGCCCCACCTTCCCTTGCTGCCCATTACCCGTCCCTTACTCTCTGTCCCCACTCACCCTTCCTCTGCTCTTTGCCCCCACCCAACCCCCCGACCCCCCACACCTCTCCACCCCCTGCAGGACTAGATGAGGAGGACAATCCCTTGCTGCGCCTCCACGCTGCCACCACGGACCCCCATCGCATTCGCTACTATCATGCCTACCTCTCGCACCTTCTCAACGCGATAAGGTGAGTCTGGCCGGTGACCAAGATTCCGTACAGTCACTTCCACTGCTCTGGCCCTTTTTGAGGCGCCTCAAAAGTCCGTCTAGTCATTCCAACCGAGTTTCACCCCTCCACGCTGCCACCGCTAACCCGCATCACATTCACTACTGCCAGGCCTACCTCTCTCACCTTCTTTAAGGGATAAGGTGCGTTTGATTCGCCTGAGCAGCAGGCTTTTGACTCGACTCAAAACTGAGCAGCATTCTTTTCTTAGTCACTTGCACGTCGTTGCCTGCTGCCTCCCCTCTCTGCCTCCCGCTCACTGCCGTGACGTGTGTTGGGGTTAGCCTCCTGCGCGAACTCGAGTTAGGAAAGGTGAGTGGGAAGCCAAAGGATGGATGGTGCGCTACTCCACACCGTTCTACTGGTATGGAGGAAGAGGATTCAGGAGGGAGGCAGAAACGAGGTCTTTCAAATGGTGCACATGATAAGGACTCTTGAAGATGCTTCAAAACTTGTCTAGATACGTCTGACCTTGAAAAAATGAAGAGGCGCACCGTCACGTGAGACATACTGTTTGTATTATGCCTTCCACCCTCTCCTCCTTTCCGCCCTCTACTCCTGTTCCGCCCTCTCCCCCTCTTTCACCCTCTCCTCCTGTTCTGCCCTCTCCTTCTCTTCCGCCCTTCTAAAGGTCAGAGGTATGTATTCAGTTTTAAAAGCTTACTTAAGTATGTGCACCATTTAAAATACCTCAATTTTGTCGTCCTCCTGCCACTCATCAAATCTCTCCACCTCCACCACAAGCAGCAGGATGGTTATAATGAGAGCAATTGGATTGGTGGGTTTGAGTAAAGGGTAGACATGATCATATCGCATCGCATATCGCATTATCGCATCGCAAATATGGAATGTTCGGTTAATTTTTCTATCTGAAAAATAGATCGCGCGATGCGATGCCAAATTTATCGCGCGATGATTTTCATCGCCCTTTTAACCCCGCCATGTTTCGCGTGATAAAAATGCGACATATGATATTATGGTATCGCACGCGATATAATTAATCGCATCTCAGAATTTTGCCAGGGTTGGGGTTGGGGTTGGGAAAGGGGAGCACAAAACTCAGAAAAACTTACCCTTTTCCACATACAGTACCTGCGAAGCGATATATTTATGGCCTCGCACGATATATTGCATTTGCGTTTGCGATACTGTATCCACCTGGATAGGCGCCCCCCCGGGGGATAGGACCCTGAGTCCTAGCTTATGGGGCTTATGCGCGTTATTTGATTATAAGACCCACCCCCCTTGGAGAGCGTTTGTCGTGCCCTTCTATTGTACACGACTAGTCTGACTAAAAACGAAACATGACACAACTTTTGCCGAGTACACTGCCCCCCTCCCGCGCACACGCGCGATACTTTGCTCTCAACAGCTCCGAGCCGCTTTCTACCACATGCGCACATAGGCCAATGGCGAGCAGGCAATAGGACCCTTGAATCTGCTGGCTTCCAGCCCACACAAATACTGGTTTCCTATTGGCTCATTGAGTCAGTAAAACGTGACAGCACTTTCGGCTGAAAACAATGAGCAGCACTTGCGGATTTCAGAGAAACCAGGTACAGAACAATATTTTGTAACAGGTGATGTTCACTTCTGTAAAAAATAAAATAAAATCAATACGTAAGTCAAGCCTCGGGGCTTATTTTAAAAAAATCGATCACTAGTCCCACCAAAAAAAAGCTGTTCACCCTTGATGCCCCTAGGGGTGCCTATCCAGGTGGATACGGTATTATATCCCAAAATCAAGAAAATTAGTCGCGCGATATCTTATCGCATGTGATAAAACAAAATGTGATGCAATAAAATATCGCATCGCATTTTGCTCATGTCTAATCAAGGATAATGGCAAAGTGTGTAGAGAAGTCATCTCACGCTTGCTGACATCATCTTATGCATGCTGAATTCATCACACTAAAGCTGACATGCATTTGCCCGCCCCCATCGTTGCATGCACACCAGGCAACGGGCAGACGTGAGAGGGAACATGGCATGGTTGTGGATGGACAACTTTGACTTGCAGATGGGGTACTGCATGCATGAATCCACTTAGGTTCATCGCCCCCCGCCCTCTCTTTTTCCATTCGCGCATCCACAGCAAAAGAGCGGACGTACAGGGCTACATGGCATGGTCGTGGATGGATAATTTCGAGTGGCAGATGGGGTACTCGAGGCGCTTTGGCATCGTGCATGTGGATCGCAACCATGGGCTCAGAAGAACACCCAAGGCGTCTGCCCTTTGGTGGAAGAGGCTCCTTTCAGGGTTGCCTGTTGATCGTTTGTAAATTGCCTGCATGCATGCCTGCCTTTTTGGATTGCGGAGTTGCCTATTGCAATCGATCAAACAAAGATTTACTTGCAAGTTTTATGGTGAAATCTTGATAGAGAAGCCATATACCATATTCTTCCGGATGTACGCACCGCCGGCTAAAACACACCATGTATATCCGGAGGGGTGCCATATCAGACGTGCCATCTATACGCACCTCCCCTTTGCCCACGACCTAATCCCTACACGCACCACTCTACATGCGCAGACTGGGTTGCCTACGAATTCGAGTTGAGGTTTGCCTATGCTCTCATTTCATGACACGGAATCCATCCTCTCGTCACCTCACGCGAGGTCTGGTCAGCATTGCTCTGCTGTCGTGGAATACAAGAGGAACGGATGGCTAGGATCGACCCTTCTTGCCTACTCGCTGGCAAAGTGCAGGGTGTCAGAACTCAGTCACTAACTGCTGAGTTAAAAGGTAAGTGCGCCCATAACCCCCCAGGCAGATAGATGGCATGTAGCCCTTCCCCAAGGATCTCAAGGGCAACCCCAGCGGGTCTCTCGACACCCCCCCTCGCTGGCATAGGCGGAAGACTTGGCAACTCTGCCGGTGCACTGTCACCTCTACCGCTGTACACTGGAAATTGAAACAGAGACGTTTGGCTGTGATACCATGTCAGAACTCAGTCACAAACCACTGAGTAAAAGGGCTTGTTAAGGAGTGGGTAAGTGCACACATAATCCCCTAGATAGATAGATGGCCTGTAGACCTTCCCCGAGGATCTCAAGGGCAACCCTAGCAGGTCTCTTGGGACAGCGAACCTGCTGTTAGCGTTCATATATGAACTATAGCCTTGCTAGGGTTCATGTTACATAGGGTACAACACTGAAACATATACATGTGTCTTGCCTTGCCCTAATCAACTTTCCTCGCAATATGGTATCACGCTAGGTTAGCTCCTACTCGTCACGCTTCTGCCCTAGGTACTCCCCGCTCCTCTCCCATCCTACCTTAGCTCCTTATACTAGGTTAGGACCTAGTCTGCCGTCCTAGCTTGCGCCCTAGCCCTAGGCCACCGCCCTCCTCCGCCTACCACTCCCCTCCCACCCCGCCCGGCCCCGTCTGGTGTCTCCCACGCCACCCACCTCCCCTCGGTTGGGCCAGTG